TTTTTTTGGTGGAACCGGGGATTGAACTCAGGTCCTTGCGCTTGCCAGGAAAGCGCTTATTCCATTGAGCCATCTCCCTGGCCCAGGTCTTACTTTCTATTTGTTTTCTGATTTCTAATGGAAATACTTCCAAATAAAATCATAAAAGACTCAAATATTCATCCCTCAGATCTGATAAGCTCTCAGTATTTTTGCCGTATTTTCCGATTTCAAATCTTCCATGTTTAACCAACTTTCTAGAGGTAGAGCACTTACATGTAATAAATTCAGATATTTTAAGCGCATGATTTGTGACCACCACTACCACCACTTAAGGACTAGCATTTCCCATCACCCATGAAAGGCTCTTCGTCTTTCTGAGTGTGTTATGTTGTTCTTTCTAATAATAGCTTAACATTACCCAGAATCACCTCATTGGTGTATTTTTTTAATCAGTATGTTATCTCTCTCCTCCACTGGAGCATATATTCTGTGAGGTCAGGAACTGTGTCTGATATATAGATGTATTCCTATCCCTGGCACATAGTAGGCCTGCAGTAAATTTGACAGACTAAGATATAGTATTGAGCATGTGGTATGCACGTCTTGTAAGTGCGTGGGGGATATCTCTGCAAATAGAGTTAGTACATGAAAGGACAACTGATTTTTTATTGTAAAGAGATATCTAGAGCTGGGCATGGGGTATGTGCCTGTATGCCAGCACACGTTGCAAGTTTAAGCCTAGCCTAAGCAACTTAGCAAGACCTTGTCCAAAATAAAAATAAAAAGGGCTGGGAGCATAGTTCATTGTGAAGGCCCTGGGTCCAGACCCTAGGGATAGGTTTTTCCAGAGGTGCAGTAGAGATAGGAAAGATAAAGGAAGGCTTTATTAACCCAAGAGACATGGAGAGGATCAAGGGCAGATGGATCAGGTCGATCCTCTGGCCTGAGACAGTGAAAGCTGGGGCTCTCATGGACTTTTGCTACGGGCGGAGTTTGAGGGGGTGTTAAGAAATATCTGAGGAACTGATTGGGGTGTTTCCTGAGGTGGCAGGAAAGGGGAAAGGAAACTGCACCTGGGCTGGATTGGAGAAGAAAGGGGGAGGTGGTCTCTGGGAAGATAAGTTGTTGTTTTAAGGGCTTAAGCCATATTAGATGACCACCATAGTAATTCAGCAATTCATTTGCTGCAAGGCGGTGCCAAAAAGCTCAGGAGAAAGTTTAGAAGTCTGAATAAAGTTTGGTCAAGCAAAGAATGTTGTCACTTTCCAGTGGGAACGTAAACCCAGCATTACCAGACCTTCCTGATTTTCACATAAGGTGAGAATTTTAAAAACAAAGCAAAACAAACAAACAAAAAACTGAAAAAACTGAAGGCAGAGTAGTACAGTGGTTAGGGTATCTGGATTCAGCTTCCCTGGGTGCAAATGCCAGCACTCCCACTTTCTACTCATCTGACTTTGAACATGTCATTTAAGTCCTCTGAACCTCAGCTTCCTCAAATGTCTTAAATTATATTAATATGAATACTGTACTTCATGAACTCACTATGAAGATTCAACTATTTATTGCACATAAAGGGCTTAGCTTAGTAGATGACTATACATTTTTTTGCTTTGTTTTTGTTTTTTTGTGGCTGTCTTAGACAGCCCTGGGGGTGGGGCTGGCATGGCATGTGGTGTCGGGGATTGAACTGTGGTCCTTGTGTTTGCCTAAGCTTGTCTAAGCAGGCATTTTAAATCACTGAGCTATCTTGCCAGCCTGACATATTACATTTTTAAATTATCAATGCTAGGGGCTGGGGACATGTAGCTCAGTGGCACAGTGCCTTCCTGGCCAGTGTAAGGTTGTGAGTTTGATTCCCAGTACAAAAAAAAAGTAGACCTTTCACTGACCCAACCTAGCAAATTCAAGGCCATCCTGAGCTGTACAAATAGTCAATGTTTTTGCTGTTATTGTTATTGCTGCTGCTGCTTCTAAGCATTATGAGAGTATAGAAAACTTTTTGAGATAGACTGAAGAAAGAAATTGGAAACAGAAGCTAAAAGAAGTCAGAGACCAAAGCACCCACTGTCAACTGATCCACTTACAGCAGCTCATTGAGTTGCTGGAGTCGATTTCCTGCATGGTGGGCACAAAAGGAACAAGAGGAAGAAAGCACATTCCTGACCATTTTCTTTCTCTACAGAATGAAGTGGAGCTTGGGGAGCTGCTTCTGTCACTGAACTATCTCCCCAGCGCAGGGAGGCTGAATGTTGACATCATTCGAGCCAAGCAACTTCTGCAGACAGACGTGAGCCAAGGCTCAGGTAGAGTGTGACCCTTTCCTCCCCTGGTTCTTTAAGGGACCATTCAGGTTTTTTGGAGAGTCCAACTTTTCTGTACCCTGGATACTCTTGGTAAGGCTCTAGGAGATGGAGAGCATTCAGAGTAGGATGCTTGGGGCTGGCCAGATAGTTTAGTGGATACAAGCACTTGCTTAGGCAGACTAAGGGGTCAGGGGTTCGATTTCTGGCCTGCCATGCTGGCCGTGCCCCTAGGGTACACTGAGACTTCAACTGAGACTGGGTGTGGTGACATGGGCCTGTAATCCCAGCACTTGGGAGGCTGAGAACAGGAGAATCACTATGACTCCAATCTGTGTAGTGAGACCCTGTAGCCCCTGTACTAAATACATTAAAATAATAATAATAAAT